CACATCTCTTCCGACTTACTCCCACCCTCTGCTTTGCTAACAAACTACTTAAAATATCCTGTTTTGAATTTGTTATCCTGTGTTCCCCCAACAACCGCCTCTACATCCCCCTGGTTCACCTGGTGAACTCCGACTCCTCCTTCAAGACTCATTGCGCACATCTTCCCTTAATTTCTTCTCTTAAGATTTCTTCTTGCATTTTGTTTTTAAATAATGTTTGTGTTTAAGGTGAAAGTTTACACTGCAAATTAGGTTCCCATTTAACTATTTCTACACAAGCTATTCAGTGACATCGGTTACATTTTCCACAATGTGTCATCATTCCCATTCATTCTATTCTGGTTGTACCATTTCTACTAGTCTAGTTTCCCTGCCCCCTTACCTTCTTATCTTTGCTTTAGAGTAATTTTTGACCATATAGTATCCTATAGTTTATTTTTTTAAAGACGGTCATTACTCACAGGTGATATTCTTTATTTTATGAACCAATCTGTTATTTAGCTAAACGTTGACTTCATGGGATGATTTTGGTTTAAGGTTTAAAGAGTATCTCAGGGCAATGGTCTTGGGGAGCCTTCTCGTCTCACCCAGTCCAGTAAGTCTGCACTTTTTAAGAATTTGAGTTCTGTTCCACATTTTTCTCTTGTTCTATCAAGATCCATCTGTTGTGGCCCTGAGCAGAACCACTGGTAGTGGTAGTCAGGCATCATCTAGTTCTTCTGGTCTCAGGGTAGATGAGGCTGTGGTTCATGTGAACTATTAGTCCTATAGACTACTTTCTTCTCTGAGTCTTTGGTTTCCTTCTCTTTTGTTCCAGATGAGTAGAGGCTGTCATAGAGGAAAAAGACCCCAGACTTGAATTTAACTGAAAGAGATTTTTATTAACCCAAGACAAACACAATCATTCAAATAAGGGAGACCATCAGCATGTACCCAGTATAGAAGCTGAAGGAATCTGCTGAATCACAGTCATGTTGCCCATTATATACTATAGAGGACAAAGAAAATCATCACAAGGTCATGACTGGTAACAGGTCAATTCATCACTGTCATAGGTGGAACTACAGAAGTGGGGCAAGGACCATGACTAGGATATGTACGTAATTACAGGTTAAAAAGGTTATAGGACTTACTAAGCATATGTCATGGATTGAATTCTGTCCCCCAAAAATATGTGTATCAGTTGGGCTAGGCCATGATTCCAAGTATTGTGGGATTGTCACCATTTTGTCATGATGTGATTTTCCTATGTGTTATAAATCCTACCTCTATGATGTTAATGAGATGACATAGGTGGCAGTTATGTTAATGAGGCAGGACTTAATCTACAAGATTAAATTGTGTCTTGAGCCAATCTCTTTTGAGATATAAAAGAGAGAAGCAGAGAGAAGTGAGCAGAGAGACAGGGAGACCTCATACCACCAAGAAAGCAGCACCGGGAACAGAGTGCATCCTTTGGACCCAGGGTTCCTGCACAGAGAAGCTTTAGTCCAGGGGAAGATTGATGACAAAGACTTTCCTCCAGAGCCGAGAAAGCCTTCCCCTGGAGCTGACACCCTGAATTTGGACTTCTAGCCTACTAGACCGTGAGAGAATAAACTATTAAAGCCATCCACTTGTAGTATTTTTGTTTAAGCAGCACTAGATGACTAAGACAGCATATTAGTCATCTACACAAATTAGCTCATCTAATCCTAACCACCACTCTAGATAAGGAAACTGAGGATCAGAGAAACCAAATAATTTGTCCAAGTCACACACCTGGCATGCAGGCAGATTGGGGATTCAAACCCAGCTTGCTCTAACTTCAGAGGGTTTGCTCTTTCCAGCTCCCAAGGTCCTGGGAGGCAGGGGCTTCCTTTTTCCTTTGTGTCCGTCCCCTGCGCTGCCCCTTAGGCATTTGCTCTTGCTTCCTCTGCCTCCTGCAATTAATTTTTCTGTCTTCTTTCCTTCTTTCACTAGCTATAATTTGCAACAAATTGTTAAATAAAACTGATTTAAAAAGTAGACTGGTTGAAAATTTTATATTTCTCTACAAAACAAGACTCCAGCCCTCCTAAAATTAGGCAAACGTTTTGTGTTTACTTATATGAAGACTTTTACCAACTTTTCCTCTCTTTATGAATCAGTATAATCAAGGGAAACAGGTGATCATTTGTGCCATAGGGCAATGAATAAATGATCAGAATATTAGAGTTGAGAGATGTGGAAACCGCAACACAAAGAAGCTCAATGGCTTGTTTAGAATACATTGGCTAGTTCCAGAATGATCCATATAATTGAAGGAAAGAGTGAAATAGGGAAAATTCTGAGTTTACACATAATTTTTGAGTGTCAAAAGTGTGCCTCTAAATCACTTATCTGACATTCGGAATATTTTCAAACGAAAAGAAAATTTTAGATGGAGATAAGACCTGATTATCTCATCAGAAAATACCTGAAATCCATTATTCGTGCCCATGAATAGTAAAAGAACCCAAATTGTTATACCGCGCTTGTAATTAAGACAGCATGAAGACAACAACACTGTAGAAGGACTAATTACAATGCCCAGGAAGAGAAAGTTGAATCAGGAGAATCCGGTGAAGATCCTGAGAATGACCTCTGGACACTCATCAGGGACTTTTGGGGATGGACAACAGACATTTATCTCTAGGAAGCAGTGAAGGAGATTTCCCAAGTGGCCATTATTTATGCTACCCAGCAATTTAAAAAAGATCAGTCCTTCAAAATCCATAACTTAAATATACCATTCAAAGCAGACCCTTTACGTGGCAGTCTCCCTTTATGTACCTTCCACTCCTGCCATTTTCAACAGTTCTCTCTTTTAAACAGTTCTCTCTCTCTCACACACACACACTTTCCCTTTTTTAGTCTTGCTATTCACTTAACCAGACCACCCTTTCTCCTCTCCATTGCCTGATAAAACATCCTCCCTCCCTAACCTAATTCAAATGCCACTTCAATTTCTAACCCTTGACTGAATATTAGCTGTTTCTCCTCTGAAACCAGTTGCATTTTGATTGTATCTTATACATTCCTTTCATGATTTGCAGTCTGTCTCTCATTTTAGTATTTGTATACATATTTTATTTATATTATTAAGGTGAAAACTCTTATGTACGCATTTTCCAAAGGTACTCGGTAAGGAGTTGTCAAATAAATTGCATTACTCATTCAGGTTTCTGCTCTTTTCTTTTCAGAAAGGCCTTCCTTGACCACTTTTGCAAAACAGTGTTCCCCCACTGTCATTCTTTATCCCCGTTTTATTTTTATTTATAGCACACATCATCCTGGACATAGTAGACGTTGGTTTATGGTCTGTCTCTTTCACCAGAATGTATGCCTACGAGTGCAGGGACTTTGTCTCATTTACTGGTTATCCCCAGTGCCTACAACTGTGCCTGGTCCAGAGTAGGAGTTGCATAAATTGATACAAGCAGAATTGAAAGAAATACCAAACTGAGTATATCAAGACACTGAGTCTAATAATTTGTATTTTGTTGCTATTTAGCTGTGGGACACAGAGCAAGTCATTAACCCATGATAGGTATCAGTTTTCTATAAAATCAATAAGATTGTTGAATACAGGATTTCTGATGTCCTTTGCAATTTCATTACTCTTGGAGTAAAAAGTGTGAGAAGTAATGGAGAAATGGAATTAAGTGTATGGGAAAAAGAAGGCTCCAGGCCAGATTAAATGAGCTGCTCTTGGTGAAGGTCAGAACGTGGATCATGAACAGAAAAGCCTGAGGTGCATGCTAGCCCGGAGAAGAGGGAAAGATGCCAAGGAAAGGGCTGCCTGTAAAGAATGCCCCTGAGAGGCGCTGAAGTGGGAGAGGAGGCTCCCAGGAAGCCACAAGGAGGTGGGAGGGTGGCTAGCTCCACACACTTTGCAGTTTTGCCTCTCTTTCCAGAGAACAACCACTCGGCTGTGTCTTGGTCAGGGTCTGATTAAGCAAACGACTCACATGTGAAAACAAATGAGAAGTTTTATACAAAGAACTACATTAGTTCTCATTTATGGCAAAAGCTCTTCCTGATCCCCCAAAGCAGACTAGATCCTTCTCTCTCCCTGTATAAACTCCACAGCACTTTGCACTTCCCATCTGAGAGTATCTCACTGTGTCTAGTGTTGCAAGCTTTGTTCTCTGGCTTTATCTTGTTGGCCTGCCCTGGAGCCTCACATGAGTAAGGCTCAGAAACGCACCATGTCTACCTTTGCTTTCCCGACTTAGCTTAGTTCACTACCCTGTAGTCAGTCTCTATTGTTTGTAGGTATATGCACGCACCCATATGTATCTCATAGACTCATACTACATGTTGTACAAGTATAGTGCATGGCCCAGTTTTAAGTTTAAAGTTCAAGGCTCGTTTTGAAAATAGAAACGGCTGCCTGACAGAGGCTTTCAAATATCCCACATTTGCTACCAAAGGGCTAGAAAATTAAGACAGAATCATCTAGAAGGCAATCATTGACATTTTTTTTAAAAAACAAACTTGAAACAAACATCTTGGAAATGGCCCGCAAAGTTTCAGGCTTTTTCTATTCCATGGTCAAAGACGCCCTGTCCTTGGCTGCAATGACTTTGTCTTGCCTTCCAAAAAGGCGCCCACGCACCGCTATGTCAGAGCACCAGGATGAGGCCATAGACAGGTCAAGGCCTCAGAGCCCGGGGACCTGGAACCCGGGACAGCTCCCACGCCCTCTTCGCAGAGTGAGGACAAGGCGGTCCCCAGGCCTTTGGAAGAGCAGCGCCCCCTCCGGTCGCAACGAAACCGCTGTCGGGCCCCACCTACGCCTTCGGGACCCGCGGGTCCCCGGACTTAGCTCCAAGACGCTGACAGATCTCGCCCTACGCAGGCGCAGTAAAGCACTTCGGCGTCTCGCAGAGGGGCGGGCCGCGGCGGTGGGCGGGGCGGGGCGTTGGGCGTGGTCGGACCGGGCGGTGGGCCAGGCGGACCAGGGCGGTGGGCGGGGCGGGCTCCCTCAAGCCTAGCCGGGGCCCTGCAGGGCCGGCCGGGGCGGGGTCGGTGGTGTTTCCGTTGCTTGGAGCTGGATGAGAGCAGCTGCCCTGAGTCTTCGCTGGCTGCTTCTCTACTCCGTCCTGAGCGCCGCCGCCGCCCCGCTGCTGTCCGGAAGGTTCGGAGCGCTTGGTCCCTCTGTCTGGGTGAGTGCCGCCTTGCTCCGGGAGGGGGCTTCCTCCAGAGTGGGGAGCGAGGTGGCGGCGCAGCCGAGAGCCCTCAGGGACCTGCGGAGAGGGCGGGTATGTCCCGTGCGCGTATGCCGGGTGCGCGGCGAGCTCCAGGGCTCATCCGCAGACCTGCGCTCTGGGGAGGGGCAAAGGCGGGCGGGTCTGGCTCGCTGAACCAGCAGTCTCTCCCCTCTTTTGCAGGCCCGTATCACCTTCTCCTGACCTGTATCACATTCTCCTGACCTGAGCAGTCGCCATGGCACAGGTAAGGCCGTGCGCCCGGAGCGCGCTCAGATTTACCAACAACTTCGTAAGCCGCGTCAAAGGGGTTCTAGAGTTTTCCTGAGTAGCCAGAAGGTTTAGGGGTAAAAGGAATCTGCCATCGGAAAGCCTCGTGCACCTTTTTTGTTTCCCCTCTGCTTTCCCCCACTCCCGTCCCTTTTCCCCTCTGTCGCCGCTGCTTCCCGCGGGCAGTCTCTGGAACCTGCCCCGCCCGGCGAAGCGCGGATCGGGCGCAGCAGCCGGTGACGTGGCGGGATTTTTGTGCACTCCTTTTTCTTGAGTGAATGTGTAAAAGTGGGCCCTCCCCAAACTCCAGAGTCTCTAAAATTAGAACCAGAGCAGGAGCAGCTCGTCGTGGTCATGTGAGACGAACGCATTGTTTTCTTCTCGGCTTCCTTTAGTTTTTAGCCAAGTTTCCTGTATTTTAATACTGTGGGTGGACGTTGGCTTTTTCCAGTCGCTCCGCCCGATTTTACTGAAAGGAACTGTTCCTTATTACGCACTGATTTTTTTAAAATTTCTTTTTCATGCAACTGATTAAAGAGAAGAGCTACTTAAGTAATAAACTTGTGGAACGAGTTCTGAATGCGTTTTGTGACTATTTCAAAAGGTGATTACCTAATATTGGCTTTCCTTGCTGTTTTTCGTATTAAAGATGTAGGACAGAGAAAACATACGCAGTTTGCCACTCCAACTCACAGTGTAACTGCGGTCCATAGAATTTTCCAGTGGATGATTTTTCAGATCACTAGGTCTTTCTTCTGAGGCTCCTCTGGGTGGACTCCAACCTCCAGCCTATTGGTTGGCAGCTTAGCAGGTTAACTTTTTTATACCACCCAGGAACTCTTTAATTTATATTTAAAAAACACCAAATCCTTTGCTGTGGAGTCAATTCTGACTCACAGCTACCCTATAGGACAGCGTAGAAGTGCCCCATAGAAGTTCCAAGGCTGTAATCTTTACGGAAGCAGACTGCCACGTATTTCTCCTGTGTAGCTGTGGGTTCCAACCACGACCTTTCCGTTAGCTATCAGCGAGTGATTTACCACTGCACCACCAGGGCTCCTAATTTATATAGCAGTCTTTAAAGAATTGATCATGTTATAGAATAGTCTTTGAATAAAATTTGTTGTTGTTAGTTGCCATCAAGCCAATTCCAACTCATGGCGACCCCATGTGTGCAGAGTAGAAGTGCTCCATAGAGTTTTCAAGGCTGTGACCTTTTGGAAGTCGATTGCCAGACTTGGCTTCCAAGCTGCCTCTGGGTGGGTTTGAACCACCAACCTTTTGTCTAGTAGTCCAGCACTTAGTAGTCCAGCAGTTTACTGTTTGTGCCACCCAGAGAGTCCAGTGTTTTAAAAAAAAAACTCCACCCCAAGCTAATTTGACAGATCTTGTCAGTCTAACTGGGTTTTATTAGAGCCTAGATAATTTTTCTTAAACAAATGTTTTAACTGCTCAAACAATGCCCTCTCTCATTTGTAGTTCACTTTTTATCAGATCGACTTATTGAAACTGGGTAAGGTTTCATAGTTGTTTCCAAGAGAAAATGGAAGGATTAAGTTGAGTTGGTAACTTTATTAAATTTATACAATGTTTCCATTCCCACTTCTTCATTCTCACTTAAGAAATCTTAACAGTAAACCAATCCTCATGTTACTTCAACTGAAAACTTTGGTTATTTTTATGGATATTTTTATGTGAAATTGACTTTGCTTTCCTGAGAAATATTTTTCCTTTCTTGATATGCTAGTGTGGTGATGTACATGGTGATTTAGCAAACATCAAAGAATAATTCCATTTATGCTTGCTCGTTTGGCTGTTTCTCTAATGTCTTTTGTAAGTTAACCCAGTGAGGTCTGAGGTTTCTCAGTCAATTCCTTTTAATTATGTAGACTATTTACCAAAGCCAGCATTTGAACAGATATCAATATTTTAAATGAACATACTTTCCAATTGTGGACATTAATTTTAATAATTTCAAGGAATGTTAATAAGCCCTTAAATAAGCCAAAGCTCAAAGAATGTTGGCAGGAAATACAAAGTTGTGTACATGATCTCTATCACAGTATAACACTAGGACTATAGTCTATCAAATGCACAGTTTTAACCAAAAAACCAAACCAAACCCACTGCCATCAAGTTGATTCCAACTTATAACGACCCTGTAGGACAGAGTGGAACTGCCTCATAGGTATCAAAGGCTGTAAATCTTTACAGAAGCAGACTGCCACATCTTTCTCCCGAGGAGCAGCTGGTGGATTTGAACTGCTGACCTTTCGGTTAGTAGCCAAGTGCTTGACCACTGCACCTCATCATAAGAGTTACAAGTAATATGAGAAAAGATACAGTGTTGAATTTTGCTTTATCTTTTTGTGAGTTATCCTTGGAAACCATGGAAGAAAAATATTAAAATGTTTTATATTAAGGTGGAGTTTTGTAGTCTTTATACTTACACTTGATGGTGTGCAAAAGACCCAGATAATGGAATTGCACTATTACTTCCTAAAGTTTGCTTCCAACCTGAGTGTAGTTGTGGGAGAGCTAGGGTACCTTCAGTGTTCCGTTTCAAACAGTTTCTGTTTGTTGACCTGTGGATTTGGGAACCAGAGACCTCCATTGTGTGGCCCTCTGGAGCAAAACAGAATCAGATGCCTGTCTTAGAGGTGTGTCTTTCAACAATTTAAAATGTATTGTTTAAATATGAATGTCTCTCATTTATTGAAAAATTAAAATGTAGCAACCCATGACAGTAATTCTCCATGCTTATGAGCTATATCAGCTACATTAATGGTTTCTTCTTTTTACTTATTTTGGGATCACTCTGCTTGTAACAGTCTACCAAAATCCAGGAACCAGTTGTCATATATGCAGATCATAGGTATGACCTTCTTGTCAAGAATTCAACCAGAAAACACTGATCAGTTCATATTTGGTAAATACATTGGTGTTTCTTTTTAAACAGGTATTATTAAGGATATTTTATATTCTTGTGCATATTTGTATTAGTATTTAGTTGCATTTAAAATGCACATTTATACTGATAAAATTTTCTCCAGTTAGATTTTACCCTAATCATGTTAAGGTAAGGGGATGAAGTTGTGGCAAAAGAGAGAGGGTACTGGAACTTGATAAAAGATGATTTATATTATCATGTTGGGCAAATACAATCAGAGCAGAAGGCATTTGAGGGGTAACCACTGCTTGAGCCCCGCCCTTCCCTTTCTAGTCCTAATCCTAGTCCATTAGCATTGAAATATGTGGGATTCTACCAACCGACTGTGATGATAGACAAAAGTAGGCTTCTGTGAGACTTCCCAATCTTTCTCAAAAAGAATACACTGGTTAGCTGTATCTCTTCTATGACGTACAAGGAATATAAAAATCACAAATGTAACTTAGTTAAGTCATACATAAAAACAATTCCTGGACAATATTTACTTTTTATATGTTTGAAACCATTCATTTGGACATCTGTGGAATTTTAGCATAAACTTTGTTAAGTGAATGATAAAGTACTATGATTTTTGGATCAGTAACATTTTCTCCTATGTTTTCATACTTTAGCTATGTTATTAGTGATCCTTGGAAACTAGTTCAGGCTAGTTGAAGTTATTCTTTAAGAGTGTCCAGAGAGCTGTTAACAATTGCTTGCATTACCTGCATATAAATATTTTTGAATCCTTTCATCTTTTTTTCTGTAGACAACTTCTGATTGTACAAATGTAAATTTTTCATTAGGTCTTAGGGTCATTTCCTCAATCCGACCATATTTTGAGTTGGATTTTTAAAATTAGGTCCTGAGCTGTTTTTTCTCTTACTGCTTAACTGGATCATGTCGATTTTTCATCCCACTCTTTAGTGAGAGCCAAATTATTTCACAGATAGAATAATTTATTTTAGTTAAGTACTTAAGCGTAAGTGGACCTGTGTTCCTTGATTTAGAAACATCAACAGTTGGCTGTATTTCAGAGACGAACTATCCATTTTATGAATCTTAATGCATTTTAAGGCCTTTATATCTTTCATTTTTATAAAGATAATGAAACTTCAAAGAACAGAGTTCAAGCCGCTGAATTTAATTTTGTTTATAATATTTATAAAGGGTTAATGTTTTCAGGGCAGCTGGAATGTCATGAAGGCAAACTTAGACTACTGGAAACTTCATGAACATCAGAATTATGTCCCTGATATGTATTTAATTTGTGCAAACTTCGTGAACATCAGAATTATGTCGCTGATATATATTTAAATTGTATAAAGTTTAATTAGAAATTGTTCTGGTGCTTTGAAATTGCTCTGCCCTGATGATTTACAAAGGCCTCGTGTGGATCGAGCAGGACTGATGTAAATTTTTGACTAGGCTTATTCCAGGGGAGCTGACTGGAGATTGACTGCATCTTGTCATGTCACTCACTTTGAAGGTCATATCTCTCTGTGGCACATTATTTGCTCCTGGGATCTGGGATCAGGGTTACCTGTTTACCCGTGGACTGTGCTGCTTGGGTAATGTCTCTAGTTCCTGAGTCCTCTGCTTCTTGTCTTCCTTGTGGATGCCGGGGGAGAACTAGATCTGAAACTGCTTGGCTGATTTGCGAGTCACTGACATTTCATTGGCGCTCATCAAATCTGAATTCCGTATCTAGCATCCCCTTCAAGATGTACACAGGTGGTCAGTCTACTTACAGGCGGGCAGCCTGTAGTTTCTTTTTTCTTTTAATGACTTAGTTGTTTAAAATAGTAGAAATATAACAATATTTTTACATTATGGATTCATTTCTGAAATAAATTTTACTCATATCCAAAAACCAAACCAGCTGCCATTGAGTCTGTTTTCACTTATGGCAAGCCCATGTCACCTGTGTACTACTCCCAGAATTTCACAAACATATCAGTTGATTTTTTTTTTTTTTTTCAAATTAGTGCTCCACAAATGTTTTTTTGCTTTAACTGGTTTTTGGACCAGCCTTTCAGTCTAGTAGT